GAATGTGTGGCCCTCTGCTGCGCATTCGGATCAGAACTTCTTATCTTTTTGGGGACAGTTTATTGCTAGATGATTGTATTTGTAGCAGTTCCAACACGGTGTTAGTGAGTAAAATTCCTCCTGCTCAATTTGTTGTTTTGATAGGTGGTAGTGGGAGATGCAGAGGCCATTCTTTAGGGCTTTTCGTGCCATGGAGATCTCTCCAAACCTGATCTTTATCATGGTGGGAGCACAGGCATTAGCACCACCTCCTCAACCCTAGCCTGACCTTTATAATTTTTTTTTTTTTTTTTGTGTTACGAACCCCGCCACCAATTGTCATGATCTACCTACCCAGCACTACGAACCACGCCATCTATTGTCCTGATCTACCTACCCAGCCCCACGAGCAACGCCATCTAGGGACGAAACCCGAGTATGACTACTCTTAGTTACCACTCCGGGGTTTCCCTTCTCCATATCCTGGTTGTTGCGTCACCTCCTCAAAGTCTTCCTCGTCAGCTCCAGTTCGATGAGAGTGCAGTTCACTCTGGGAAGTGACTACAGGATCACCTATCCTGGAAACCTACGGCACAGTGACTACCTACCGTCTTCTACAATACTCAGCCTTACTCGTCAGCCATCTCAGCTCCGCACTTAAGTATTTGTAATCTTATATTGCCTCCCCACCTCCACCTTGCTTCAAATTATTGTATGTTGTATAAATATGTATATACTGTTAATGTTTAGGTTAAGTATGGTTAAGGGTAAATTATAGGAAGCTGAATATTTTGTTAAGGAATTTATGGTACTTTATTATGCACAACAAAAACTCGCATCCTTTGTCTACCCTTTTATAGTCCTATTGTCTTTGTTTTTTTATTGTTGTTACCTGTTGGGATCTGGGTAGACTTTTAACTATATTCTAAATCCCCAACTCGTAACAAATGGCGACCGTGACAGGATCCAACATTAAGTGCCATATTCCTTCCTCCCAGTCACTTCTGTTCACAATTGCTTTACGGTGGTTTAAAGTTTCCTTCATATGTGTGTGCATATATTGGTATTATCGTACAGTAAGAGTGACAGACGTAGGATATTAGGTTCCAAGTGTCATAAGGCTTACCTGTTATTACAAGTGGCAGTCGTGTAGTAAGTCTTATCTAGTGTAGGGAAGAATCCGGATCTATTTAATGCTGTACCCTCGCTCCAGAGTAGGCTGTTCCATAGTCACTAGTTTAGGGTGAAGTGATATCTTGGGACGCCCCTCTCTACCAGTACCCCATAATTATAAAGCCTCAATTATTGTTCTTCTCATTATCTCATTCGGGGTCAATAATCTGTAACTCAAGGGTCGTTAATCCGAATCTTTATATTAATGCCGTAATACGCCCTTCCTGTTTACTCCAGGGTTGTTAATCCGGATCTTTATATAAATGCCGTAATACGCCCTTCCTGTTTACTCAGGGTTGTTAATCCGGATCTTTATATTAATGCCGTAATACGCCTGTAGTGGACGTCTCCCCTACAACTGCGTATCCGCATTCCGATGCGCCGCCGTATCCTAGCAACCAAGCGAGCGGCGACAGCAGATGTTACCGTAACCTAGCAACGAACCAAAGACCGGCGACTTTCTCGGGTTTTCCCAACATGACTCATAGAGGACTCACGGCTGCTGGGTATATAAGCTCTGTCTCTCCATTGAGATTCATTCTGGTCTCTCTTCTTGAACAAGCAACACCTCCTCCAGCAAGCTCCACGCTGTCAGCATTCATTCAACCAGGAGGCCAGCAACAGGCAACATCTTCTCTAACGAAGCTCCTGCACATCTACCTCCTTCAACACGCTACTCACCGAACGTCTCTACTGAGCAGCTCCTCACCACACGGCACCTCCAGCACCAGACTGTTTCTCATATAACTTATATTATACAAGAAAACCACCTTAGAGTTTCCATCCATCCTGAGTGCTAGACAACATTATACCACGAACATCTACAAGGAGTAAGAGGATTGACATTTTCTAACACACACACACACTTCTTGTCTCGTCCTCTACTCTATAAAGGTCAAAGGTCAGCCATGTGTACGAATATATAGCTTATTGTAGAACTAGAATAGAATTAAGATTTTTTGAGTAGAGAGAGTGAGAGAAAGAGAGACAATGGATGTGTTTAATATACATTGTGAAAAAAGGGAAGCTGTTCACTACCGTTTGGTGTCATATTTTAATCCATGGTTTAAGTAATTTTTGGGGTAATAATGATAAAATGTTGTTGAGTTCATTTGATTTTTATGAACTAGTAAATGACATAAGTGTGGAAGGCTCGTAGCCTTTGTTGTTAAGTGTGTACATGAGGGTGACATTTTATCTGTTGTTATTATTATTATTATTATTATTATATAGGTCAGGTAGACATACACAGGTGTTGATAGACATAATTGTATCTTACCTGTGAGTGTGTCAAGTCAAGGGGTAACAATACATCAGGCTACGATCAACGAAAATGAATGGCTTTCGTTTAAATTTAAATTGGTAATATTTTATGTACCAATTGACTGTATTTTTCTTGTAAATGTCAATAATCTCACCCAAAGGCGTTTTACCGCTATGCAAAGTCGAAATTGAAAACGCGAGTAGGAGTATCAGACCTGAGGCTTGAAGATGGTAGTTACGCAGATTCTGACCAGGATAAAGCTGAGGCAATGAACAGCTTCTTTTCCTCAGTGTTCACAAGAGAGGATGCAACTAACCTTCCTGCGTTTGAGGACAGACGGTTCGACACAGCACTGACCCACATTGTGTTCACAGAAGAGGGTATTAGAAATAAACTGTCCAGGCTAAAGGTCCATAAGAGTCCTGGACCTGACATGGTGCATCCTAGAGTGCTAAGAGAGCTGTGCAACGAGCTTGCAGAGCCCCTGAAGATTCTGTTTTGTAAATGCCTGGATGAACAAATGGTCCCCAGTGAATGGAAAGTGGCTTATGTGAGTCCTATCTTCAAGAAGGGCGATAGTCACTCCACGAACAACTATAGACCGGTGAGCCTGACCAGCATAATATGTAAAGTACTTGAGAGTATTATCAGAGATGCCGCGATGGAACATCTACTACGAAACAACCTTGTAAAAGATTGCCAACACGGTTTTATGCCGGGGCGCTCTTGCTTAACACAATTGCTCAAGGTATTGGATATTTGGACCCATATTCTAGAACGGGGTGGTAATATCGACAATATTTACCTAGATTTTGCCAAGGCTTTCGACAGTGTACCCCACGAAAGGCTGAAAATCAAACTGGAAGGGTACGGAATTCGGGGAAATGTCCTAGCGTGGATAGAAGACTTTCTACATGACCGCAAGCAGTGTGTGGTGATTAATGGCACGAAATCGTCATCTGTACCTGTAACAAGTGGGGTACCGCAGGGTAGTGTATTGGGCCCGCTGTTGTTTGTTTGTTTCATAAATGACATGCCTGACGTTGTACACTCCTCCATACAAATGTTTGCCGATGATGGCAAGTTATTTCGGGAAATTAAGAACCAAGCGGACTGTGAAGAGCTGCAGAAGGACCTCTGTGGGCTCCAGGAATGGTCGAAGAAATGGCTGCTGAGATTCAATGTCACGAAGTGTAAGAGGATGCACCTGGAGCGTACCAACGGTAAGGAGGCGTATCATATGTCCCAACGGGATGAAGAAACTGCACTAGTTGAGACTGTGTGTGAGAAGGACCTAGGTGTGTATGTTGACAATGAGCTGAAGTTCTCGGGCCATTGTAAGAAGAAGGTAAATCAGGCAAATAAATTATTGGGTCTTATAAGAAGGTCGTTCAGATATCTAGACGGTCCGTCCCTCGTGACGATCTTCAGGAGTGAAGTGCTTCCCCATCTGGAGTACTGTCACCCCATCTGGTCCCCGAGATATGCTAGGGACTGTCAGTTGGTTGAAAATGTTCAAAGGAGGGCCACCAAACTGGTGCCTGCACTTCGGCACCTCAGCTACCCTGAGAGATTGGAGCGCCTGAACTTGCCTAGCTTATACTACAGACGGGCAAGGGGGGACCTAGTTGAGGTTTATAAGCATCTCAGGGGGCACTACTCAGTTGAGTGTCCTTACTTGGAGCTGGCGGACGCTCGCCCCACAAGGGGTCACAGCTCAAGATTGAAGAAGCCGCAAGTCCAGAAAACCGTGAGGGCAAACTTTTTCGGAGTGAGAGTTGTGAACTCTTGGAACAATCTACCAGAGAGTGTTGTGACGGCACCGAGTGTGAGCTCTTTCAAGAGAAGACTTGACCAACACTGGAGCGGGTTCAGGTACATTCAGGAGCCGGTGCATGCCCAGAACTTGCCAACAGTGTGTGACAGAGACGTGACCGATCGCCCGGGCGGCTAGTGAGCCGATCTTTTGGTGAAGAATATAAATGAAAAGAGACGTGACCGATCGCCCAAGCGGCTAACAAGCCGATCAGTGGCGAAGAGGATAAAAGTAAAGTAAAAAAAGGTTTATCAATGATTTACGGTAGAATTAGTGTGAGTTTCGTGTGTTTCTCGGTAAACATCCAGGCGATATTTTGTAATAACGGTTGTAATGGCGGTGGTGATTCTGTCTTCGTGATCGGGTGAATCTTTTTTGTATTAACGACTGAAGTTATGTAGTTCCATCATGCAAGCACCATCCCATTGACCCGCTGTTGTTCCATCATGCAAGCACCATCCCATTGACCCGCTGTTGTTCCATCATGCAAGCACCATCCCATTGACCCGCTGTAGTTCCATCATGCAAGCACCATCCCATTGACCCGCTGTAGTTCCATCATGCAAGCACCATCCCATTGACCCGCTGTAGTTCCATCATGCAAGCACCATCCCATTGACCCGCTGTAGTTCCATCATGCAAGCACCATCCCATTGACCCGCCACTGTGTTTTATTTTGAGAGAAACCGATATTCTACAACAGTGAAAATTTAAGAGTATATGATTGACTTTTCATGCATGTAGCAGTAAAAATATAAATTTAACGAGTCTTTTGGTTGATATTGAGAACAAATATTTTTTTATCGCATTTTATAGAACCATCGCACCAACTCGACCGATCAGCTGTTACTGTTTTGTTAAAATGGCTCTACGGCTGAGCACTTCACTGCTTTCTCAATTGTCAAGAGTTGGGCGGCTTCAGGGGTAAGGAATTTTGGCATGTGCTAGTATTATCAGCATTAAAATGGTATATTATTAATGTAGGACTAAATTAGACTGGTAAAGGTAATTCGGGTTGTAGCCGGGTTAGGAAGGTTTGAGACAACCACAAATCTTACAGCTTCGTCCAAAGGTTTCAGTCACCTGTTAGCAGAACTGTAAAAACAGGAGGTGTGGAGTTAATGAAAGAGAAGGGTCACTTTATAGTATAGGACAGGGTAAAATTATCGATTTGGTTGTCCACCTATTTGGAATCTGAAAATATGGTTTTCCGGTGTTTTTTGCGTGTGTAAGACGAGTCTGACGTTTATTTCTACTGGAAATCACTAATTTTTTAGATCCCCTCTTAGCCAACGATAATGGGAGACCCCCAGTGGGAACCAAGGGTTTTGGGTGGGGAAAAATCACAAAGTAATAATTTTCGATAGAAATGAAGGTCAGAATAATCCCAAACCTAACCTAAATTTAACCTACCCTAACCCAACCCTAAACCTTAACCTAAACCTTAACCTAGCCTATCCACCTGTGTGCTTACCTTAATTAGACTCAGAAGACTTGGAGTTGGGGTCCCAGACCGTATGGAGCCAATGATTGATAGATAAGATCAGTTTCCATGGCTCCAGATGTGCACCTTAGAGAAATGTTTGTGTAGTGTGACACTGTATAATTGAACTTCTTCCTCTTGCTGACTTAGGAATAAAAGTTTTTCTCCCACAATACCAAAGGTGTTTTTCACCTTGGTAACTACAAGGATGTTTACACTTCACACAAGTAATTTTCGTAGGTAGAATAAGAACATAAGAAAATAAGGAGTCTGCAATAGGCCGGTTGGCCTGTGCACGGCAGCTCCTGTCGAGAGTTACTACAACTCTCTATCATCCATGAATCTATCTAGCCTCCTTTTGAAACTTTCCAGAGTTCCCGCACTTACTACAAAGTTGCTAAGCTTGTTTCACTCGTCCACCATCCTATTTGTGAACCAGTTTCTTCCTATCTCCCTCCTAAACCTAAACTTATCCAACTTGAATCCGTTGCTCCGAGTCCTATCCTGCTCAGATATTATAAGAACTTTATCTATATCCCCTTTATTGATTCCTTTCACCCACTTAAATACTTCTATCATATCTCCCGCACTCTTCGTCTTTCTAGGGAATGCAAGTTAAGTTTCTTTAACCTATCCTGATATGGAAGGTTTCTAAGTCCCGAATCATTTTTGTCATTCTTCGCTGCACCGACTCTAGTGAATTTATATCCATTCTATAATAGGGGCACCAGAACTGAACTGCATAATCGAGGTGCGGCCTGACTAGCGCAAGATATAGTTGCAATAAGACCTCTGCACTCTTGTTACTTACACTTCTAGATATAAAACCCAATACAGTGATTCCTCGGTTAACGAACTCAATCCGTTCCAGAAGGTCGTTCGTTAACCGAAAAGTTCGTTAACCGAAACCATTGTTTCAATGGGTTTTTGGGTAATTGGTTCCAGCTCACCGAAAATTTCCTAAATTCAACAAAAATGGTAGAAAAGTTCACTTACTTTGAGGTGTGTATGTAGAAGGCTCCTGGATGATGATGATGATGATGGGAATTAGAATGGGGTTGGAGGAGAAGGAAGAAGAGAAGGCATTGGGGTGGAAGAAAAGTCACCCCATGGCACCATTTCACCCATAAAATTTTAGTTCTCTTGGTGTATTTCAAGATTATTTTCTTTAAATCAACACTGCACTGCATTAAATATTGTCAATATGTAAAATATATTTCAAAATGACCAATAATTTGCTTGGAAACACAGAAAAAAAGCATTAAGTTGAAGAGAGTCTCAAGCAAGATGCTACCTCCGCTGAAAACAGAGAGAGACTAACTCCTGTCTGGTGTGTTAACAGGCTGGATGGCACGCCAGAAACTAGTTTCTTTCCCTTCACTTATGTTCAATAATTGTTAAAATGACTAAAAAAGTTAATATTAAACTTTTAAAATTATTGAATAGTATAAACTTCTTGATATTTACTAAAATAGTAAGGAATTTAAGCCCTAAAACCGATTACTGTATTGGCGGACTGATACTAAAGCTGGTTGCCCGGTCAGTGCAAGCGAAAACATGTTGAGGTTGGTTCGTAAGAAATTCGTTAACCGAATTTTTGTTCGTTAACCGAATTGAAGATCCTTATGGAAGGCAGTTCGTTAACTGTGGCATTCGTTAAACGAGGGGTCACTGTACTCTGTTTGCCTTATTTCGAACATTAACGCACTGTTTTCTAGGCCGTAGGTCCGGGCTTACAAGTACCCTGAGGTCTCTTTCACAAGTCGACTTCTCTAGGTTGATGTTGTTAAGGCTGTATACATTATAAGTATTTGTTCTTCCAATATTAAGTACGCTGCACTTGCTGGTGTTGAATTTCATTTGCCATTTTTCAGACCACCCCTGCAGTTTATTTAGATCCTCCTGTAATGCATTTGGATCCTGCCCTGAATTAATTTGCCGCCCTATTTTGGTGTCATCCGCAAACTTGCTTATGTCACTGCTGATCCCAGTATCTAGATCGTTTATGTAGATTATGAACAAGAGTGGGCCTAGTACTGACCCCTGGGGAACCCCACTGGTTACACGGCCCCACTCAGATTTAACGCCATCTACGCTGACCCTCTGCGTTCTATCGGTGAGCCATGATTTTATCCAATTTAAAACTTTCCCCTCGATACCATGAGCCTTAATTTTTCTCAGAAGCCTCTGATGCGGTACTCTGTCAAATGCTTTGCTAAAGTCTAAGTAAATAACATGGTAATTTTCGTCATTATCTACTACCTCGAAGACTTTCCTAAAAAACGTTAGCAGATTTGTTAGACAAGATTTTCCCTTTGTAAACCCATGTTGAGAGTCATAGATTAATTTGCTTTTCTCTAGATGCGATCGGATGCTATCTGCTATAATTGATTCAAGAAATTTCCCCACTACTGACGTCAAACTGATCGGCTGGTAATTTGACGCTGATGCTCTGTCTCCCTTTTTGAATATGGGTACTACATTTGCCTGTTTCCACAAGTCTGGCACAACTCCAGTGTCTAATGATTTTGTAAATAAGTTTACTGGGGGTCCGCTAATCTGTTCCCTACATTCTTTCAAGACTCGAGGGAAAATTTCATCCAGCCCTGGGGATTTTGTTTTCTTTAGTTTATTTATCATCTTAAGAACATCCTCTTTTCTGATTGTGATATTCTTTAATTTCTCTTCTTCCTTTCCCTTAAATATCAGTTCCACCTCTTGAATTTCATCGCAAATTTCTTCTGTGAAAACTGATAAGAAGTAGCTGTTCAATGCTTTGCTTATTTCTTCACTGCCATTTATCACTTCTCCCCTCCCTAACTTCAAAGGCCCAACTTTGTCCTTGACCTTTGTCCTATATACCTGGAAAAATCCCTTGGGATTTGCCTTGGATTCTCTTGCTATTTTGATTTCATAATCTCTCTTTGCTTTCCTTACATTTTTCTTAACATTCCTAGATAGTTCATTATACCTGTTTCTAAGCTGCTCCTCCCTCCCTTTAATTTCTTATATATTCCTTTCTTTATTCCTATGTCATGTTTAAGTTTTCTGGTCATCCACCTTGGCTCATTCTTATTTGACCTAATTTTTCTGTATGGTATATTTTGTTCTTGTGCTTTATGTAGTATACTAGTGAATATATTATAGTTTTGATCAATTGTTGTGTCATCTATGACCTCACCCCTTCCTACTGGGAACTGACGTGACTGTTCCCAGGTGACCTCACCTAGGTACCTTCTTAACCCCTGATAATCCGTGTACGTGTAGAAATTTCCACGCTTCTCCGTCTTTACCGTAATAATCGATGTGAAATTTGGCAATAGTTTGGAAGTAATTGAAGTCACAACCATTGCACAAGGGGGACATCTTGAAAATAAATACAAATTCGAGCTGGTGGGGGCCTATACTGAGCTGTGAAGGTTGATCCAAAATCATACCCACCAAACAATGTCCAAAGAACAACTGTGCATGCGGCAAGACTATAGCGCATGTGTAATGCAGCATAGTAACCAACAAATGAACACAGAAGCTCTCTGGGACGGTGGTAACATAAACAAGAACTTAGAAAAAATACGACTATTTTCCAACAATTTATTGCGATTTTCTTAGAAAGTAATCATTTGCGGAAGAAATGCTACAGAAGAAACGGGTCTTGGACTTGTCTAAACTACCGATTCCATAACTTAAAATCCTAAGGTTCGCTAGATGACAGAAACGATAATAATACCGAGGACATATTCTGATAGTGGATTTTTTTATTGCATAGGATAAGTACAGGCAAAAACAAGGTTTTTTATATGTTTGTTTGGTGTTCTATTTGGTATTTGACCTCATATTTTCCCTCCACTTCAAAGCCCTGTCCACGTTGAATAACCAATACAGCTACTCCTCGACTTACGACCACCCGGACGTTCGACCGCCTCAGTCATACCCAAATTTTGTCAAATTACGTAATTTTGAGTCCCGACGTTAGTGATTGAGCTGTGTACTGACAAAATTTTCGTTTGTAATTCACTTTAAAATGGCTGGCAAGCTTAAAAGTGAGAGTTATGTGGTGCTGAGAAGAAAGAGACACCCATTTTAGATTTTCTATGTATTATTTAAGCATTTTCGACTTAGACCAATTCGACTTACGACCTGGATTTGGGTCCCTAACCCCGTCGTAAGTCGAGGAGGAACTGTATTGGTAATTGGAGGGGGGGGTCATGTCTGTATAACGGATTATTTGCGATGAAAATGAACATCAGATTTGCTTCAAACACCACACAACACACCAGGAAAACCTATTTTGTTTGTCGTTTCTGTGGTCAACAGAAAACTATTCCTTACCATTAAAATTTCAGTTTAGGCTATTCATTCAGAAACCATTACTGTAGAGATCTGTAAGGGTGAAAGATATTCACAAGCATCATTTGTGAGTTTATTAAGTCATACCTCCCAAGGGAAGACAGTCTTGTATTGTTAATAAATGCTTATGCCTATGTACAGTATACTGTATTGTCTTGGCTAAAATAAGTACTGTACTGTTTAGGTATGACCAGGGTATAAACATGAAATAACATTGAATTTATTTATTATGACATACTCTACTGTACTTAGTGTAAACATAATAATACTTTTGCTAGAATGTATTAATTACCAGCATGTATTAATAAAGTACAAGACAATATTCACTTGAGGTATCATGTACAAATTGTACTTCAGGAGCAAGTAGCAGTACATGTTTAAAATTAATGAACACTAAAAATAGTACAATAGCATGATTTTTTTCTTAGTCGATGTATTACAGTACAGTATCTAAAAGTTTTGTTTCACCAGACGAGCCGTGAGTACTTCAGCAGTGAGATATGTGGATGACTTAACTGTGAAGCAAGTGGAACCCAAGGACACTAAGTCAATACTCGCCTCAGAGGAAGTCCAGCACCAAAAGGCTATTTCTGGATATATTACTATTGATACTCCAGTAAGTACAGTACAGGTACTGTATTAAGTTTACAGTATTCCCGTATTTCTGTGTCTGGGACTGTATACTGTTTATCTTTGATTGAAGTTGCCTGAGAAGAATCTTATTCAGAATGATATCACACTGTCTTAGATTTGTATATTTGTATAAATAATAATGAATATATAATTAATTAATGGTGCTGATTTATTCTGCGGCCCTGCTCAACGTTAGACTGATTAGTAATGACTGATTTTTTCTTCCTTTGAATTTATGGAGGTATTAATAAATCTTCATCACCAAGTTATTAAAATTGCTGTTGTCTATCGTCCGGATCACCCAGGTACAGATAAGGAGTTCATGGAAGAATTTGGTTTGTTTCCTGAGACTTTCTCAGGAAAGTATGGGCACCAGTTGATCTGTGGTGGCTTTAATTATTGGGTTGACAACCCATCTTTGAAGCCTTTTCCTCTAAGTTCTTGGAAATTCATAATCTAAACAATTTTGTCAATTGTGTCGTGACCAACATATCTTTCTGGACACACTGTAGACCTAGTTTTGTCTCCTGTTGATTCTCTGGTCATGCTTTGGTTACTTTGGTTTTAATGTCCCAAGACCCCCTTCTTACAGTAAAACAATTACTATACTGTACCTTCAGGAACTATAGATACATTGACCAGACCATGATTGATTAGGAAGTCGATCATTCCTTGAACTGGGTCGAGTATTGTACTCTGATAACATGGCTAAACTACATAATGATGTCTTTCAATCCACTTCAGACTATTATTGTCCAGAGGTCCTTGGTAGGACTTGTCAAAAAATTCTCTTCATAGGGATCGTAGAAGTGGGAAAAGATCATACTAGATCAGAGTACTGTATATGACTGTGTGTAGGGTTGTTGTTTGTTCAGTGTGGGCACACAAAGTTGAATACTGTACGAGTGAAGTAGCCTCATGTGGCAGTGATCAGAAATAATTTTATGCAGTTATGAATGGGCTGTTGGGTTGGAGGTGTGGAACTACTGTGCCGTGTTCCACTTCAGATGCTTAGCTTGCCTCAGATTTTTTCTTGTTTTTTATGACAAAGATATATCTTATGTAAGAAGTGAACTTGATCTTGTTTCTTTGATTGAGGAATTTTCAGTTGAATTTCAACTGAGTTACACCACAGACCTCACTCTTTCATTGTTTTGTCCTGCAGGGGTGAACAACATTCTATGCTATATCAACGATTCAAAGAAGACATTATGTCGTCTTGATCCTATACAATAAATGTATGTAAGGTACCACTCGCTTTTGAACATGCTGCAGATTTTATTTGTAGAATCATGAATATATGCTTTACGGAGGGCAATTTTGTGCAATCCGAGAAACAGGTTTTATTGTATCCACTTTTAAAGAAACCTGGTTTTGATCCTGAAAGTACAGTATTACCCCGCTTTACACGGTTTCACTTTACGCGATTTCTCATTTACGCGGTACCTTGCCAGAACCGGACTTTCACTTTCTGCGGTGCATCTACTCATATACGCGGTGAAGTATAATTTTTTTTTTTTTGAGCTCATAAAATTCATACAAATTACCCGGCCAGAATATAATTTACATTGCTGGAATTCTTACAATATGATGATCATTTTGAATATAAACATCATGGATTTTGCATTAGACATACAAATTTTATATCTTATGTAATAATTTGGTTTACACAAAGCAAATATTTTATCCTTTGTGCAGAATATATGAAGTTTACATTCAAAATATTCCCTGACCTGCAAGGAATCCAGAAATGTCAATTATATTATCCTAACTTTAGTCTGAGGTATTATTTATTGCTAAACATTAAAATCTAGTGTTTCACCCAATCATTTCTCAGAGAGGTAGGGGCCAGTGAGCTGGGAAGAGGGGGGGGGATTTGAGTCCGTTATTTGAATGGACATTAACCTGGCGACTGTATTTCTCTTAAATATTAATTGTGTAATCATAAAATTTAGATGTTATTTTTACTACAACATAGGTATTGTGTCGGAAAAAGTGGAGTTTCGGGGTCGGGCCAGTCTCTATTGGAATTAATCCCATATGTTCTGTTGTTCACTTTACGCGGTTTTCACTTTCCGCGGTACCCTGTGGGTTCAATTGACCACGTAAATCGGGGTACTACTGTAATGTTCGTTGTAGGAGTTTCGTTCGTTATAGCATTCTCAATTTTATAGGAAAACCGTTCGTTATAGGAATATTCGTAGTAGGATCCGTTCGTTATAGCATACCCCACTGTATGTGTATATATATATATATATATATATATATATATATATATATATATATATATATATATATATATATATATATATATATATATATATATATATATATATATATATATATATATATATATATATATATATATATATATATATATATATATATAATTTTTTTTTTTTTTTTTAATGGTAGCTAATTGACTGCACATTGGGGCTGAATTGAACTTACCAATTATGGGTTAAAGTGAGGTGGAACACTTCCATTTTGAGTCATCAGGATTTGTTGGGCCATGTGCTTTTGTTCATCTTATTTAACAACAAAATATTTATTGATCATTGGTGTTGTTTTTACAGCACTGTAAATTTATTAGTGCAGATATCTTTACCTTTATTATATGGATTATCATTTGGTTGGTGTATCAGGTGTAGGTAGCATTTAAGACTGATATACAGTATTTATTTTAATATATTTTCCTTAGGCACTGGATAATACAATTGTATGGTGAAGATTTTTGCCACTACAGTGAGTTGCTTCAAAATATGTACTGTAACTTACACAACAGTACAGTCACCCAACAACCAGGAGAATGTTTCATCATAGGCAACACTGATATCTCTCTCAAGTAGAGTCATCCAGACATATTTCATGAACATGTCTGAAGGTAATATGTGATAGTACCGTGAGGGAGACACAGTACCTAAGGTTATGCTGAAGGGAGTTTCCACATGGAATGACCCCAAAATTTATTTTTAGTCATTTTCGTATTCCAACATATCAAAAATTTATTTATTCTAAATCATTACTCTTCAGGTCACTTCTCTATTTAATAGCCAACTATTCTGGGTTTCAGCTTATGATATACAATAAGTTTATTCACTTTCAGGTTGATATTACACCAATTTCTGGTGTGCCGGAAGAACACATCAAAACTCGGCGCGTTGTGATCAAGCTGCCTTCCAAGAATGCCATGCAGTCTGGCACCAACAACATCCACAGGTTAGTATAGGTCATAATTCCCTCTGTTAAGTAACAATTCCTCACCATTATCATCATCATCATCGTTTTACATCCATTATTCATGCTTGTGTAGGTTAGCCACAGTTACCTTATGGTAGTCTCCATGCTGCATGATCTCTTGTAATCTCTTGTCAGGTTCCTAACTCTAATGTAAATTCTTAGTCTCTTCCTATGTCACTCTTGACCTACCTCTATCTCTCCTTCCCTGCACATTTAGGCTTGTGCATCTCTTGGCCCAATTGGTCTCATTCATTTTCTCCACATGCCCAAACCATCTCAGCCCGCCTATACGCAGGACTTTGCCAATACAGTACTCTCGATATGCAGCCACCCTCTTAGCTTTGAACAAGGCCTCCTGTCTTTCAGTCACATTAAAGATCCACCTCACCCTCAAAAAATATCATCCATCTTTCTTTCGATTTATCAACTCTATTTGATGTACCAGCTGCTCTATGAATGAACTCCTGACTGACACATTCACTAAGAGAACTTCTTGTTAAGCCTGTGCTGATTTGGCTTCTGATCATTATTATTCCATTTTTAACTAAATCGGGTGGATTAGATTCTCCAAGAAAATTTCAGAGTTGTAAATAAATATGTCCTTTGTTGATAACTGGCCTTAGAGGTTAATGAGGTATAATGAACCTTGGTTGGTTCACATACTGTATAAATGACTGCATTCAGAAACACTAACTTAGATGTCACCTTTGGTTTACCCTTGTTCTGAGTGTAGGTACTTTCTATCTAAGGATTTATTTTCATGCAGAATTTCTTCCAAAGCATTACTGTTATAATCCATAACAGTGTGTTGCCTGTCAAAATTTGAAAGGCATGAATATGCCAGAATTATGTATAATAAATTTGCTGAAATATGTTGCAATTAATGTTATACACTAAATGATTCTTGTGTATATTCATTAATTTCTGTCAAACTATAGCCTTATAAAAGGGTTTTGTCATAAAAAATTATAATCCTGTGGAGGCATTCCACCATAAAGCAACTTAGTGGTGCAGCAGTGTCATGTTTGTCTCTCACTACTGAGACCCAGGATTGAGCCCCTGTTTTAGTTGGATTAGAAAAGTGTGTTGTCCAGTGTGACACAATAGAACATCACAGGTTTTCTATAGGTTCTTCAATTTCCTCCTATAGTTACTAACGTTGGGCCCATGGAGGATGGCTCTCACTGGACCTCAAGGTAGACCATTAAGTCATAACTGATAAAGATCCCCATTATAGATGTAAAAGTCAAATGGTCATTCAAATTCAGTATATTATCGGAAAATAATTTACAAAATACCTTTTAAATTTTTCACTTTCTTCTCACCAGTAAAGGCCAGGCTTCCTCTTGGAACTGTGTCTTATTTTGTGTTATAATAACTCATGTTTTTATTTTCTTCATTTCTTTCATATTCAGATTGATTGCTGCAATCATTATTACTGTCATTACAAAATAATTTTGTAACTTCTGGGTTATCATGGGTATAAAAAAGCAGAGAATAAAAATCACCAATAACAGAAGTCACTCAATATGAAGGACATGTTTCTGACCTGACACCCTCATCATGATCAACATTTTGCAGCCATTTTCCACGCTTGTGTGAATTAGCCATGATTACCTGATGGCAACACTGTTGTATAAAATCTTGGCAAGATCCCCCCCTCAATCACCACTACACACTCAGGTGCCAGCCCAGGAAATCCAACAGAGACCAGGGGATAGGCACAGCTCTGGTGATCCAGTTGCCATCGGGCATGTTGAAGCGAAGTTTTATGATTGGAGTCCCTTCTTAACCTCAACACTGGGTTGGGAAAAAATCCTAAATGTACAGTGAAACTTATTTAGTAGAATGGTGCAGGTTGTAGCGAAGTGGTGCAGTCCAAAGTAGGTTGAGTGCAGCTGTTGAAATTTGCACAATTTCAAATTTATTGGTCCTGGTCATTAATAGAAATAATTTTTTTCTCTAGGATATGCAAAAAAAATTGTTTTAAGTACAGGGCCCCCCCCCCCAAATTCGCGGATTTTTATTTTGCGGTACTCTATTATTCGCGGATGACACTCTGGATGTACACAAGAATGTCTGTGGGTAGTTTTAAAGTTGCCGGAATTTTCGCGGCTGGGACAGGGAGCCATTCATTCTAGAGACAATAATTTACTTTATCTGTATTGTAAACATGTGTGTGTGTGTGTGTAGACACACACACACATACACACACACCACCTGAGATCCCTAGTCCGAGAATTGCTGTTCGACACCACAACCGCATCCAGCCCATACGTGCACGAACTGATCGCTATAAGAACAGCCCAGTCCCAACCATTGTAAAAATTATCAATAACTTGTAATAAACCAGTGTATTCACTCCCAGTTAACACTACTCCTTGCACTGTCACTATGTTGAAATGAACTGTAGTTTGAGCTTTTCCCCATCTAGTTATTATATATCTTATTTGTGTCACTTATGTTACTTGTATATTATTTGTAATTCGAAACCCATTCCCCAAATATGTAACTGTATATTTTCAGCCTTCTGGCTGCCAAGCTCTTTCAATAAACCGTTTATTATTATTATTATTATTATTATTATTATTATTATTATTATTATTACACACACTTACAAATGAATAGGATTGGGAAAATTCTCTCACAATTAATCAGAAACAAATTTATTAAAAATGCGAGTCTACCCTCAAGTTCGTGCTTTATTACTTTTTTAATAAAGCCACGGTCTTGTGGGTAGACTGTCACATTTTTAATAAATTTGTTTCTGAATACAGTATTTGTGAGAGTATTTTCCCATTATTATTTTTTGTATGTGTTTTGTGTGTGTGTGTCTACACACACACTGACACACATATACAGTCGGCCCTTAACATACGGGGTTACGTAACAGAGATAGCCGTGGATGTTAAAAATCCGCGAATATGTGCTGCCCCCCCCCAAAAAAAACCTGGCCCCCCATGTCCTTATTTACCGTATATACCTGTGTGTAGTTCGAGTTTTTAAGACCAAATTATTTGGCAAAAAATTGGGGGTCGACCTCTAAAAGGGTAATAGTTTCGTTAGGTTGAAAAATATTTACCAGTAACTACCAGTAAAAAATGGAAAAGATGCACCAACACACCACCAGCTGTGAGTGTCGGTACAGTTGCCAGGGCAGATCTCTTGCGAGCTCAAAGTAGCCAAATCCATGGTATGGTAGCACAGGATGATGTAAAACAAAGTATTCATTTATTAAAGTTAATTTATAGATACTGGACATAAATTTTTGTTCATTACATTTGAAACATTAATCTTTGTTAATTAAATTTGAAACGAGAAAACTACGATACTGGATTTTCATTAAAATATTACATCACAAGTATATTTTACCTTAACTGTGACTGAATGAATATATTCTCGGAAATAAATATGGAAATGTAATATTTTTGCTGGAATGACGTACATATTATAGTGGGAAGTGGGATAAAATCATGACGAAAGACTTTCGCTTTCTTTCGTTGTTCAAAATATTTTACCGTAATCGCTTTTTGAATGGTTTTCAGTAAAAAAAACTGTTATACTCGTACTGTATTACAATAATATTCTATCCTATCATTAGCCTTATAATCCCACAACTGAAAACCATTCGAAAAGCGATTACGGTAACATCTTTTGAACGAAAGAAAGCGAAAGTCATTGCTTTTGTCACTTTCCACTGTAATACATACATCATTTCAGCAAAAATATTACATTTCCATGTTCTCAGAAATAAATGGTAGTTTTGTTGAAACGTAATGTACAGTATTTAACATTAAAATGCAAAAATAGCTATAAAAACAATTAATACACCCGTAATGTACTTGCTGGCATCTCCACTCGTCCCTGCTCCCGCCAGTCACCTCCTCCCTGCTCTATCCCTCCGCCTCCTCCACGTCATCACTACTGTTGTATGACAATAATGTTCTATCCTAATTGACTTGAATAAATACTACGATACCATATTTCTGAATATTTTCATTAAAATCCATCCAAATCATTTTCCTTGCCATCGTCTGCAGCACCAAACAGCTTCTCCCAGTCCTCTCCTTGAACAGGGCTAGAGGGTACGTGTTTTTCGAATCGTTTTCAATTAAAAAAATGTTACATCACACGTATATTTTACCTAAACTGCACCTGAATGAATATATTCTCGGAAATAAATAGTAATTTTGCTGAAACGTGATGTATTTCAATGTAAAATAGGATAAAATACATGACGAAAACAAAAGACTTCACCTAACCTTCCAATGTTCAAGAGATGTTACTCGTTTTTTTAATAGTTTTTGGTTAAAATACTGTTATATTACAATGATATTATATTCATACTGTGCTTGATATACTACATTCACAGAAATGAAATATTTTTGCTGAAATGACGTAAGTATTACAGTGGAATGTGGGATAAAATCGTGACGAAAACAATGACTTTCGCTTTCTTTCGTTCAAAAGATGTTACCGTAATCGCTTTTCGAATGGTTTTCAGTTAAAAAACTGTTGCATCACAAGTGAATTAGGATAGAATATTATTGTAATACAACAGTTTTTTAACTGAAAACCATTCGAAAAGCGATTACGGTAACATCTTTTGAGCGAAAGAAAGCGAGTCATTGCTTTCGTCACTTTCCAATGTAATACGTATGTCATTTCAGCAAAATATTACATTTCCATATTCTCAGAAATAAATAGTACTTTTGCTGAAACGTGATGTATTTCAATGTAAATTAGGATAAAATTCATGACGAAAACAAGAGACTTTACTTAACCTTCCGATGTTCAAGAGATGTTACTCGTTTTTTTAGTAGTTTTCGGTTAAAATACTTTTATATTAGTGATATTCTATTCATACTGTGCTTGATATAATACATTCACGGAAATGTAATATTTTTGCAACTACGGTGCTGATGTCAACACAAGTGTGGTTACTGCGAGACTGACTGAGTGAGGGAGAGCTATGCTTGTGTGTGTGAGGTTGCAGGAGCGGGCGGTGTCCCGTGTTCGGTGCCGCGCGCGATTTGAATGTACTTCAATTACTTCAATGTACAGAATATTCCTCCGGCAGGGCAATCCGCGTATTTACAAATCCGTGTATTATAAACCCGCGTATGTTAAGGGCCGACTGTACAGTATACTGTGTGGTATGAGATGTTTGTGTTCACACTCAGGATGGAATGGAGAAAGGAAACTCACAATGTGCTCTCTATATACATGTTGTATTGGATGTACAATGCAGCTTGGTGCTGGGAAGGCAGCATGGTTACAAGCGTGATGTAGAGAGAGCTGGTTGGTGAGGACGCTCAGAGAAGGACAGCTTGTGGGTCACCATGCTCGCCGGCGGGAGCGAGGACCGCCAGGCAGGCGGAGGAGCGAGGGCCGCCAGGCAGCGGAGGAGGAGCGAGGGCTGCCAGGCAGCGGAGGAGGAGCGAGGGCCGCCAGGCAGCGGCGGAGGAGGAGGTGTTGCTGGCTGCGGCTGTAGGTAGAAAGAGGGAGATCACCACGAGGTCAGGTCTTAAATAGCGGGGGTTGGCGTGGCTTAGTAGTTGACCCCCGCTCCGTGATGTATGGTGGCGCTGGTTGACCTAGACCATGAGGCATACACTGGGGAATTGGTGGGGTCGGCTACTCAGCGACAAACAGCGTTTGTAGGGGAGAAATCCACTACAATACAATGCAGTACAGGTAAATGAAATAATTGTCCTAAGGGCAAACACATAAAGGTAATATACACTACTTTGTACAAAAATAAAAATATATTAACCCCCCGGCCAGCAAATGTTATTTACGGATTTGGTGATTCGCGGCCATTTTGAGAACCTAACCCCCTCCCTCGCAAATTTGGGGCTCCCCCGTATTTGGATAGGGAACATTTGATGGATTAGCTGATGTTGGATCATGAATCGTTTCATATTGGTACATAATCTAATTTGTTTTTCAGGTGGCGTCTTTTCTTTGATGAACGTGAACGTTGGGAGAATCCCCTCATGGGGTGGTCATCGACAGCAGATCCTCTCTCCAATATTCAGGTGAGCTATTATGAAATTTTACTCAAGGTCATTGGTGACTTGTATACCATGTGAAGAACTACATTCATTATTGTATTTTCAAGTACTGTACACCCACCTCTCGTTTTACGCGAGGGTTATGTTCTTGAAATCACCGCTTAATTCAAAACCGCTTAAATTAAACATAATTTTCCCATAAGAATATATGTAAATGGTACAGGTGAGGGGAACCATCATATACCATATAGGGTATGAGCAGTGCTCTCACTTCAACCAAGCACTCGGTCAACCTCCGAAACAAGCTCTCCTCTCTGACTCTCTGATGCGGGGGATCACATTTAATTTCACGTCCATTGCAATTGTTTTTAATGCCTTTTTAGCATTAGGCGCCCCAGAGGAGGCAGATGGACATTTTCCAGACATGCTCATTGTGGAAAACAGCATTTAACACTAAAAAGGTCCTTCATAAACACACAATGCAAATGAGAGCACAGAGAAAAAGTAGTGCTGGTGTGAACTGAGTAAGCGATATGTGGGAAGCTTGTTTGACGTCGTCATAGTTATTGTACAGAATACTTCATTATCTTCATCATTACTAGTACGGTAATAATCTTTATTATTACATTATTATAATGATAATTGTTATTATTAATAATAATATTAAAATTGTTGATATTGATATGACTGCAACTTTATAGTAATAACTTACAAGCCCTTCACCAGGCATCACACGCGACTCCACTGCCAGGCGAATATGCGTGGCAAGTTTAAGCTGTCTTGAACGTGTTATTTAAAAAATTTAGGGGCACGTAAATTAGCTTTTGGTATTAATTGAACAATTTCATTATTCCAAAACGCTTAAATCAAACGCGCATAAAATGCGAGTTACCTGTACAGTATATTATATTGATGGTTAGTCAACTCGTGTCCAGACTGTTATTAGTATTTTACACTGAATCATAAATTTATTAATCTATCAATATAACCAAACCCAGGCTAATTAAACCTACTGTAAGTTCAACCATAAAATTTCAGGAATTACTGTACTATACTGTACTGTCTTTGATGATTTAATTCTATTGCTAACTGCCTTCATAGTCATCACATTATTATTTTGTGATTTGTCACAAATTTTTTGTATGTTATAGATCAAGATACTTTATATAGGAAAATAATTGCTCTTATAGATTCAGATTTACTATTCCCAAATAATAATACAGTAAACCCTCGAAGATCCGGACCCGGTAAGTCCGGATTTTGGAAGATTTGGACAAAAAATTTGGAGGTTCTGGGCTAAGAAGCCTCCCTAAGAAACTTTCCCAAAACAGGGTGAAGGTAGTTTTAGGCTTAAAGTTTGTATCTTATAAAATATCAGACTAAACTTAGCAGAATATAACTTGCATTGCTGGAATCCTTGCAAGATAGCGAATAATTTGAGTACTGTATACACATCATATAGTTTGCAAAAAGAGATAAAAATTTTAGTCCTTTAGTGTTGTACATTTGAGTACAGAGTACTGTACAGTAATATGTTGTTCAAAATTATAGCTTTTTCACAGGAAAAAGTCTGTATAACTAACCCCAGTAGTCAGGATAATGTGTACTGTATTTTGGGTGTTTTTTATGTAATTATTTATCATTTTTATATATTTAGTACCTTTGCCGGAAGATTCGGACAATTGTTTTTTCAGACTGGTGGTCCCCCTTTTAGTCCAGATCTTCGAGGGTTCACTGTAATATTATAAAATTGATGCCTTAATGTAGATGTGAATAGATATGTATCAAAAACTTACATAATCACATAATTCTGGGAATTTTCTTTAATTTCTGTCATACCTAACTAGTGGCAGATTTCCTTCATACTATTTTCAGGCATTGGTTTTGGGTGTATGATACTAGATGGTTATAACTAAAATGAATTGGAGAAGGGGAATGCACTCCCTCCCTCTCAGTATAGAAAAAGGGCACCCCTTCCATCTATATATCTACAGTACTTAGCTATGTGCATACCTTGTATATGTTGCCAACATGCTGTATGACCCATGCATCTTTCTTGGCATTGTTTACTTTGGAAATTCCTCTGTCCTTGAAATGTTGGCTTTTCCCTTGAGTACTTTTGTTAGGTTTATTTTTCTTTAACAGCCAAATGTGACAGTTACTACAGTAATTTTGCTTATGAAGTAACTCAAAACATTTAAATAAATACCATTAGTTGTTAGAGTTGATGCTGCTGATTGTGTGATCAGAAGAGATGTGGAGATTGTGGTATCAATAGTGTACCGTACAGGGTATATGAAGGGGTTGTGTTCCTGGAAATCCATTCAATGAGTAAAAAAAAAATACATGTATCCTTCGCTTAACGAACATTTGAGATGCAAAAATTTGCTTATGTAAATTTCTTAAATTAACCCCTCTTTATCATTTAACAAAGGCTTTCCCTGCTTATTTGAATTTTGGTCCAAGCAAAAATTAAAATCACGTGCCCCGGGGAGTCAGCTTGGGCGGCCACATCCCCTTAGCCCTCTCCCTACTAGGTTGAGGTGTGAGCTACAGTATGTTAAGGTTATTTTTCAACTTGTAACTTAGGGTAGATGTGCAAAACTTTCATAAATATATTTTTTTATTCAGTTACATGTACTCGGTCAAAAAATTAACTTTCAGGAGGGGCCCGATGAATTTGGAACTGAGCGCTTGTGTTGTCTTGCTAGGGTTGGTAGGTGTGATTGTGAGACATTTCCTACTTATTATGGTAGGCCTAATTTAATTATTTTATTCAAAATATAAAATTAGTTTGTTGCAATGTGATTGGTGAATAATAGTATGCCTGATGGTGATGGGCCTTTATCAAAAACATTTGTTCGTGGTGTCATTTTGTTTCGCACAAGAATTGTAAATATAGTTTTTTTACAGAGTGTACACACAATCCTACATACAGAATGAGCCCCCCAAAAAAATTAACATAAGGTCAAAAACATAAAAAGAAATAAACATTTCCTGGTGAGCCAGCAAGAGTAAGCAGGCTGAGCAAGCGAGTTATGTTATGGCTTATTTTTCAACGTATAATTTCAGGTAGATAAACTTATGTTTTTTATTTATTTTTTTACACACAATCCTACATACATCATGTGCAAAAAAGTAAAAAAATAGCTGTCATAAATAAAAAAACATAAGGGAATAAACATTTCTTCGTGTGCGAGAGTGGGAAGGGGAAGCAGAGTGAGAGCCCCATTGCTAAGGGTCAGCAGAGGCAGCTTCCTAGCTGGGGTGCATTGCTATGGTGTGGTTTGAGGCCACACAGCCAGCATCTATGCAAATGGCAGTTGTGTTACTTTCATTTAACTTTACCTTAATGGTTTTAGCTGCAATTATCATTTAGGTAAGTTTTTTATAAATATTTTTAATGTGTTAGGTATATAGTATATAGTACTGTAGTTGTGTACTATTTATCACTAGTTAGGTAGATATTTTTGTTGTTCATGAACCGATTTCATGTTTTTGAGTTATGATATTGAGTTTTTCTTGTCATTGGGGAACTGAACCCCATTTTCCCCATATGTTCTGTTATTCAAGTTACTATATCAAAATTCACTTAAAGAATGGTTTTTCAGGAACCAAACCCATTCGTTAAGTGAGGAATACCTCTAGTAGGACTCATTTATTATTGGGGGTTATGTTCCAGTGATGGAAAATGTTGGTCAACTAGGGTTTTCACATAAAATTCACCACAATACATCTTGTAAATTATAATAAAGAAAAAATACATTGAAAATAATGAACATTATACATGTACAATAGGGCATAAATGTGTGTTTGCACATCCTGTGTGGCCATCTTGACCACGTGACAGCTAAAAGTTTTTATTTAACCCTTAAATGATGGTAAGGTTTATAAGTAGACTATTTGCTCTGATGGGGAAAGATGGTTTAAAAAAATGGGTAAAAATATAAAATTTTCATAGGAAAAGGAAAAGATTTGTTCATTGAATAATGTAAAGTGTTGTAATCAGGTTTACTATATGCCTAATGAGAGCCACAAACATTGTGAGGGAAGATACTGAGTGTGTGACCAGGTGGGAGGGGATCGGGGCGTTGCCGTGCACTCCAGCTTTGGACCTGTATTGATTCATTATTATATTTTAGTATGGTCAGCCTCTTATGGTTTATGATTCATCATAAATAATAAAGCCTTCCACAATAGAAAAATACTACTGTGTACAGTCTATGATTTGTAATTTAACCTGATAATAAAAGGATAAGATGTATCAAAAGGTATCACTTCCCCAAGATAAGATGAAAATTAAAAAAACAATCATAATATTCATTTTATAATAATGGAGACTGAGACAATAGTGCTGGGTTTATGAGGAATGTGTATTTGAGTTGTGACAATGCTGTCGGTACCTGTCCATGTACCATACTTTCCAAAATTAGATGTCTTCAGATGGTTGTATATTTTCTAGGATTATCATAAAGAATGTGTTTATGGGCATGGGGCATTAACATGGTAATGGCAAAAAACAAGCAAAATTTCATTCATGGTGGTGTACCATTGTTTTGTCACAATGATTTTTGCAGTCCAAATCATTGTCACTAGTACTGTAGTCTCTTGCACCATGAACTCCTCATGCATGTGTTAGTGATACAAACCTACCCGGTACACCAGCAATACATGGAGAAGCATTTCTACCTTGCTTTTCTCATCACACTCCTCCTGGTCTGTTAAGCACTTCTCCTATACTGATGACTAGTTCATCCATGTCACTTTTGCTGATACTCTCACAAACTCTCATTTCTGAATTCACTCAACAAATCTACCAGTTCTCTGTCACCCTCACTCTCTGATTCCCATAATATTTAATAGTACAGTACTTATTTTTCTGGGTGTCAAGGCAACACTACTGTACTGTGGCAATAAGTCTTTGCACACAATGCATCACTGGAAATGCCAGATACTTTTTCTATGATGACAAAAAGGGCTACTGGTGCAGGGCGGGAACATATTGGAAGAGGAAAAGTTGCCACGAGTCACAATAATTCGCTAAAACAGAGTTCTTGCGCCAAATCTTAAAAATTGTCACAAAAATCTCCCGATTATACAGATGATCACCATCGTTGTAAGAAAGGGTACTCATCATCTGATTACAATTTCCATTGTTTAAGGGGCAAAGAAAAACGGTGTCAAAATGTGATAGTTATTTGACAATCGAATGTTTTCTTTCATATAAAGAAAAAGAAGTCAAACTATCTTTTTAAATAATTTTCCTTCATCGAGCATACAGTATGGATATCAAGGAACACCTTTATACTTTACATTGAAGTGTAGAAAAAGATAACTAGGCATAATAAGGGATATGGTAGACTTTGGCAATGAAAATTTTTTTAACATAAGGTGAATTGCTATATGTTGAGTTTCAACAGCTTATTTACAAAAATAAATAAAAATTAAGTTTATTTTGTTGTATTTCAGGTTGACTTTTCCTCTCAGGAAGATGCCATAGCATTTTGTGACAAGAATGGGTGGGAGTGGACAGTTGTAGATCCCCCTGTTAAACCTCCACGAGTCAAAAACTATGGAGCGAACTTTTCGTGGAACAAGAGAACTCGGCGGTCTACAAAATAACTTGTACATTTGTATTTTTGTTCAATCTATATTTCTCTGCTGTATCCTGTGGTGCAAGATCAACATGAATTGTAGTACCTAGTGTAAATGGACCTACTGCTTGGTGTGGTAAATTTCCTGTTAAGAAGATTACGTCTGTGGAGTAGAAAAATTATGATATTTATTTTCAAACATATTTATATCTGAAAAATACTTGCCATATTTGAGGGATCACGAGTACACCATTCCTGAGGTGTAGAACCATTCTGCCAAGAGATTCATAAGGGAGAATGAAATACTAACCAAAACTCCAGCTGGTAAGTCATACATCATGAGACTTGTCTTAAATTTTTGTAGTTTGTTGATGTGCGAGTGATTTCAGAGGTTATTGTTCATATCACTGCTTGACAAAGACATCCTTAGTGTTTGGACTTGGGTTTACACAGTTGTACATAATTATGAAATAAAATCTTAAACTGGATCTATTTTGTTTCATAGTAGATCCTCTCAATATTTTTAATTCATATACCTTTTTTTTCTATAGCACTGCCATTCATGGAAACTTAAGGTTAGGTTACTACTGAAGTTAACCACAAATGAAGTGTGAGATAAGTGCAAATTATTATGGGGTCTGCTTTTAAACTTTCATCTACCTTGAACATGGACATTAAACTTCAATCTGTATGGATATTGAACCCAAACATTTATATGCCTATTGAACCACAAACATCGTTATAAATATTGAACATGAATTAATGACATTAAACACCTGTAAGAATACCTTCCTATCCACAAAACCTCATTCCTGAGAGGTCACTTGTGAGGTGGCGACCAAGACAGAAAGCCTCTAGGCTGCCCTATTACAGTAGGCCCTCCAAATTCATGGGGGTTAGGTTCTCAAACAGGCCGCAAGTTGCCAAATCCGCAAATAACATTTGCTGACGGCCGGTATTGTATTGTATATGTGTGTGTAGACACACACACACAAAACATACAAATAAATAATAATTGGAAAATACTCTCACAAATAATCAGGAACAAATTTATTACAATGTGAGTCTACCCTCAAGTCCGACCTTTATTAATAAAGCACAGACTTGAGGGTAGACTCACTTTTTAATAAATTTGTTTCTGATTGTTTATATGAATTGTATTGTATATACTGTATGTGTGTGCATGTGTGTAGACATGATGATGATACTCCCCATCCTTTCAATCGCCATTACCTTCCTTCCTCATATTGTTATCTCTCTAATTACACTCTATTGCATCATTTCTATTTAACACCACTCCCAAATATTATAAATCTCTAACCTCCTCCACTATTTGATTCTTCATTATCATCATTTTATGGCCATTTTCCATGTTTCTATGAGTAATTTTTACTTTTTAATTTGCTAGTTATTCTATTGTGCATTGATAACAAAAATCAGTTATGTCATGCTCTTCTCAATAATGATAGCTTGCTGTAATTTTTTTAAGTTTTCAGTGATTAGCTACAGTTTCTCTTGTATCAAATAATCTCTCAAGGTGATTCACCACCTTTTGCAGATCGTGTTTTCTTATCATAAAATGTATCACTTGGTACACCCTATCTTACGTCTTTTCAATATCCATAATCACTCGATATACAATGGCGTATTTTTGTGAACATTCTTGCAGAAAATATTTGGTCTAAGCAACCTCAACCTCCTTTAAATCCTTCCTCTTTATCACTTATCCAACTCTGCCATTTTCTTCCCCATGTCAGTTACAGCCCTGCCATATACTCAGTGGACTGATTTTTCTATCATTTTTACAATCCTCGTCACTACTGTACCTCTTTATACAAGGGTGTTAGTGACCTTTGATCATTTCTTTGGTAGTTTTCCTGCTTCTCATGCCAACATGCAGGCTCTAAGTTGGAAGCTTATTATACTCTCCTTTTTATATTGCAATGTCCTATTAAAGGCTTTTTTTCTTCTTATTTATAGATAGATTTATAATGAAACTTTGATGCATTAGTATAAGGACTTAATGCACCTAACAGTGTTTTTATTTAAATTTAAATGAATTTGGCCAATTAGTTCATTTTTTATTTTTTTTTTTTTATGTTGTCATTTATGAAAGTTATTTGTGCCTTTGACCAAGTAAAGAACATGGGCTATTGATAGTTTGTTATTTTTACTAAGAAATCATACCAATTCAGTGATGGAAAAAAGGGGGATGGGACATTTTTTCTTCGTCAGCAATTTCTATTTTTTAAGTAATTTATAGAGAAGCACAATTTTGAGTTATACAGTATAACTTTGGAGATTCATCTGCTCTGGTACCTGGTTCACTTATGTTTTTGCAATATATTCTGTGCACACTCAACACTGTAAGCACTAGAGTCACCATCTCCAACAAAAGTGGTGTTTTGGAGGTGGTGCCAATTTGACCAATTCCACAGTCTAACAGCTGCTTCTGTCTCCATTGCTCCGGAATGTCCCTTGAAATTCTTGGTACAGGCGGTTGAGTGACCCTGCTTCCAGGTGTCAAAGTTGGCAAAGAGCTTGTTTTGCTGAGCACTTAAAAATCCACAGGTATCCTCGTGTTCACCTCAGTGACAATCCTGATACTGATGCGACTCATACCCCTTTGTCATCTATGTCCCATTAAATGTGACATCAATGTCAGGGCAGGATGCACTAACGCCTGACTTAAGTCTGCCGCGACAGCTCACTTAGCTCAAAATATCAAGTGAGGGCTAAGTGAAAACTTACGTTTGCATGCTGAAAGCAAACTTACAGTTGTCGAATACACTGGATAGCTTCAAACATAGGTTGGATGGATATATGAGCAATAGGGGTTGGGTGTAAATGGGACTAGCCAGTATAGGCCAATGGGCCCACTGCAGTTTCCTCCATTCTTATATTTTTATGTGACTAAGACTGTATTCTGCCACGTCAGTTGACATCCGTCAACCAATCAGTGCACGTTACAGATATTTTTCTGTCCCTTCAACCAATCACAGAGAAGATGCTATGATGCAATAGCATAACACTTGAAATGCACATGGAAGACCACATGCTACGGCCACACAGTATTAGCTGCAAATCAACAAAATCACAACTGAAGTTTATTTATTCCTTTACTTTATTCAGGTATTTGTTTACTTTCTCTGCTTTATTCTGTAATTATATTTATTATTTCTATTTCTACTTTCAATCAATCATATTCTGCTCTTTCTTTATTAATTTTTCTTTAATTGTTTCTCTTTCTTTCTTTGTACTTAAAGAAAGGTACAGGAGAAGCTTGGTGTGTGAGTGGGAGAGTGACTGTTACCCTCCTGACTTAAGTGTAAACAAAAGAAGTTGGCGGAGGTACTGTAGCGTACTGTATGTGGCCAGTTGTCAATTCTCTTTAGTTGTCTATTTTCTCTTTGTATGGGCACACAAACGTACGTACATGTAGATATCTCACACTCAGGAATGAGGTAGAATAGAAACTCTCAATGCACTTTCTGTACATATATTGTTGTACAGTGCAATGCTTAGGAGTGACTAGGTGACGAGTAGCTTGCTCAGAGGTCCTGTAGGGCGAGGAGGTTTCTGAGGAAGCTGGGTGGTGAGGAGCTGTGAGAAATGTTGCTGGTCCGGTAGCCTAGTGTAGAATGAGTTTCCCGGTCAGCCGGGTCCATATTTATGTGATTTAGGAAACTCAGGATATGAGGTGCTCGTAGCGCGAGGGCCAATCATGGCAGCTTAAGCGTAAGGTGTGAAACGCTCTGATCCTAAGCTGGAGGTTGAAGGTCAAGACTAGGTCGGCGATTGTACCCCTACGTCCACTGCATAGACCTAGTCTCTCGGTGTAGCTGGCTGTACGCTGATTGGCTGGTAGGCGCGCGGCCGGAGCTCAGTTGGGAGTTGTAGGGGAGAGGATCCACTACAATACAAAGCACAAATCATTCATATTTTATTTTAAAGAAATATAGCAAAGCAGCGTGTGGTGATTAATGGCACGAAATCATCATCCGTGCCTGTCACAAGCGGGGTACCACAGGGCAGTGTATTGGGCCCGCTGTTGTTTGTTTGTTTCATAAATGACATGCCTGACGTTGTACACTTCTCCATACAAATGATTGCCGATGACGGCAAGTTATTTTGGGAAATCAAGAACCAAGCAAACTGTGAAGAGCTACAGAAGGATCTCTGTGGGCTCCAAGAATGATCGAAGAAATGGCTGCTGAGATTCAATGTCACGAAGTGTAAGAGGATGCACCTGGGACGTACCAACGGTAAGGAGGCGTATCATATGTCCCAACGGATTGAAGAAACTGCAATATTTGAGACTGAATGTGAGAAGGACCTTGGGTGTGTATGTTGACAATGAGCTGAAGTTCTCGGGACTTGCGAGAAGAAGGTAAATCAGGCAAATAAATTATTGGGTCTTATAAGAAAGTCGTTCAGATATCTAGAGGGTACTTCCCTCGTAACGATCTTCAAGAGTGAAGTGCTTCCCCATCTGGAGCACTGTTACCCCATCTGGTCCCCGAGATATGCTAGGGACTGTCAGTTGGTTGAAAATGTTCAAAGGAGGGCCATCAGACTGGTGCCTGCACTTCGGCACCTCAGCTACACTGAGAGATTGGAGCGCCTGAACTTGCCTAGCTTATACTACAGGCCGGCAAGGGGTGACCTAATTGAGGTGTATAAGCACCTCAAGGGGACCCACTCAGTCGAGTGTCCTTACTTGGAACTGGCGGACGCTCGCCCCACAAGGGGTCACAGCTCAAGATTGAAGAAGCCACAAGTCCGGAAAACTGTGAGGGCAAACTTTTTAGGAGTGAGAGTTGTGAACTCTTGGAACAATCTGCCAGAAAGTGTTGTGACGGCACCGAGTGTGAGCTCTTTCAAGACCAGACTTGACCAACACTGGACCAGGTTCAGGTACATTCAGTAGCCGGTGCATGCCCAGTGCCTTCCAACAGTGCGTAACGGAGACGTGACCAATCGCCCAAGCGGCAAACGAGCTGATCTGGGGTGAAGAGAATAAAAGCAAACTTAAAAAAAAAAGAATGAGTTGAATTGTTAAAAAGAATTCGTTGAAAATGTTTTACCTTATAATATATGAAATTCACAGCACATATTTAGAACTCAAAGGAAAAGAGAATGAAGGAACATAATTATTATGTACCATACAATCTAAATTCTAAATGGAGGTCTGAAATGAGGAATATTATTTAGTATTTAGATGATATAAAGGGTCTAAGGTAATTTTTTTTAAAGGGAGCTTTGCTTTACATATCCTTTGTGAGTGGAGGAAGATGGTAAATGTATGTTATCATTAAATGAACATTATGGAATTTCCTAGGCAGTAAAATTCACAAATTCACTGCTCCTGGTTCCAATGCATAGAAAGTAAAGTAATTACACCAATAAATACATTAAAACATGTGATTATATATTATATTATAATTAAGGAAAGTTTTTTGCATTGCAATTTACAAATACCGAACTTAAAGTGGATGCTACACAGTGTTATGTCTCTTACACTGGTGATCTCTGAGCAGTTAACCCAAACATAAACAAATCAGACGGGAGTCGTCAGGAAACGACGATTATTACAATTGGTTGCTTGAAATACAGGCATACTTTAATAATCTGGTAAGACTGAAAGAAGCAAGGATTCGGTAGAGGAAATGTATGAATATACACACACAAAAAAAGTGTGTGTCCAAAATTTTTACAGGTGGTCACGCTAAATGACACGATAACTAATGTGGTTCTCTTGGCTTCCAGCTAACTAGAAGGTGCCTGTCTGGTGAGAAGCTTCAAGCTTTCAAGAGCAAAGTGTTCCTCATCTTGTGTTGCATAAGTAATTTCCCACAAGATTTAGTACTGAGATAATGGTGTTATGGTATCTGAAATGAGCAGCTGTATATTTATAAAGTGAAGCCTCAATGAACTCTTCACTCCGGATATGGTAATGAAGGTTTTATATATGGTGTTTCTCCCATAAAGTGAGACTCAAAAACTGAAGGTGGTAAAAAATTGGAAAAAATATGAAAATCACATTTTTATTTTCTTGTTGCATTGCAAAACTTATTGATGACATGTTGGTGAACAGAAGGAAGAGAAGAAGATGCATCTTCTGGAGTGTTGTGGTGGGAAGTTTAGTGACAGTGTTCATCGTGGTCATTGTAAGAGACACTCTCTTTGCTTCTAAATTTATTTGTTCTACGGATGATATCATCAATAATCACATCACTGAACTGGTAAGCCAATGTTACAAAATTTAGTCTACGTAAAGATGTCAAATTCTTCTTTTAAATAATTTAGGCAGTAAATTTATAATAGTTCACACAACTCTGTTATAAAGCCAAAACTATGTTTTTCTAGTGTATTTTTGTGTTTTGATTGGTTCTGACCTTGATTTCCTTTGGAAATTGCCTTTTTTTTAGTTATTGCCCCCTTCTACCACTAACAAGATAGGGGATCTTGTTGGGAACCGGAGTTTTGGGTGGGGCGTTTTCTGACAAAAATCATGGCCAAGTGAATACAAAATACACCAAAAAACACAAGAAAAAACGTTGAAACCTAACCCTTTTTTGGATGCAGTAACCTAACTTAACCTAACCTGACCTGACCTATCCTATCCTAACCTGACCTAACCTAACCTAACCTAACCTAACCTAACCTAACTTAACTCACGCTGTTTTTATATAACCAGACTCTCACCATATGAGGGAATCACTATTATTTCTTACCTTGATCCAAATTAGAATCTTTACTGAGGTCGGGAGAACACCACAAGAACTAAAAAATGCTATTGCTTATTCATTTTTTTTCCCCAAATGTGCAATTAACTCCATATAATTGAAGTGACACCCATTGCAGACTTCCATGGTCGGAAATGAATTTGAATTTCGAAGCATGAGAGACCCAAAAATCACAAAATACTGTAAATTCTTAAAGCAGAAACCACAATTAATTTTAATTGGTGGCAAAAAAAAAAAACGCTTTTGATTGGCCGTGTGATGTGTACGGGAGGTCGGGTAGGCAAAAATGGCTGAAGATTAATGGAATTAAATAGAGAAAGATTTGGCATGCGTTATCTCCGTTATTATAAGTTTCCGACGGTAATGTAATAGAAGAAAATTATCTTAAAATTAGACGTCTTTTTCGAATATGATAAAAGATTAGGAATGTTGTGTGAACTACTATAAAAATATCATTTAGGCTGTACTGGTTACACAAGACACAGACAAATGTAAACAGAATTAGTTTTTAAAGTTGCTGGGAAACTGATTGGCCCTTGTATTTTTTTTTTATTAAAACAGTTTGTAATTATCACAGAATATTATCCTGTACAGTACAGTACCACTAAATTACAGTACCTGTACAATACAGTATATGAGTTGGTGTCTGCTGATATTAAGACTGATCATTATGCAAAAAAAAAAAAGAAAAAAAAATCTAAATTCCTGAAAAAAAACATTACAGTACAGTATGTTGATACTATTGACTTGTAGTATGCACATGTAGTTTGTACGGTACTATAGTTTAACCAATGTTTCAGATTTTATTAGATTTTTAATTCATCTGCACAACAAAATAAGTTAGAATTTTATTTATTAAAAACAAATCAAGCTCTAATCCTAATATTTTTACGGTTGACTTGGCAGAATCAGTGTTATAATATTTTTATTGTGATATAATATTCCCTGGTTTGGGGAGGACTTAGCAGATTTAAAATGCAATGCAGGTGATTTCATGGTCCCTAGTTACTTGTCAGAGTATGATATACAGTCAGTCCTCGACTTACGACGGGGTTCCGGACCAACGACCAGGTTGTAAGTCGAAAATGCGAAAATAATACATAGAAAATCTTAAATGAAATACGGTACAGTAAAAGTAATCAATAATGAAAAATGAATAAATTGTTACTGTGCACTTACCTTTAATGTAGTCAGCTGAATGCATACGGGACCTCAATAATTTTTAATTAAACAGGGAGACTACATTAATTGGATGAAGCCGAGGAGGAGACAGGGCTGGGTGGGTCATCAATTTCGCTTTCTTCAGACAGGTTAACATACTTGCTTGTTGAAGGTATTGGATCATCTTTAGGGAGTGAAGAGGCAGCAGTGGTGGGGTGTGAGGAGACAGCAGTGGGGTACTTCTTAAAAAATATTTCCAAATTAGAATGCACAGTTTGCCTTTTCTTTTCATTGTAAATCTCTCTGTAGCAAGCAAGTGCATCTTGGATCATTCTGTCAACTTTTGCAAAACGCTCAACATTTTGATACATTTCGTCAAACATTTGAAGCCCCTTATTAATAGTAGCAAATGCCTCTGCCATTTGTTTCACTGAAAACTTTTTGGGGGGTGCAGGTTCTTCTTCTACATTTTGTCTCTCTTCTTCCTCTGCAATTTTCTGTGCATCCAGTTCAATAAGATCCTTGTTACTTAGCTCTTCTGCTACACTTTCAACCAACTGTTCAACATCTTCATTATCAATTTCTATCTCCAGATGTTTACCCAACTCCACTATCTTGTTACTAATCTCAGAAATTGCTTCGTCTTCATTAAATCCTTTGAAACTGTTCACATTTCTTTTCAGGACTTTTTTCCATATTTCATTCATGCACTGACCTAAGAACATAAGAACATAAGAATGGAGGAAACTGCAGTGGGCCTATTGGCCCATACTGGGCAGTCCCGTTTACACCCAACCCCTGTTGCTCATATAAGCATCCAACCTATGTTTGAAGCTATTCAGCATATTCGAGTTAATGATGATATTTGGTAACTTGTTCCATTCATCCACTACTCTGTTTCCAAACCAGTGTTTACCTATTTCACGCCTAAATCTAAATTTGTCTAATTTAAAACCATTGTTACGAGTTCGCTCCTGGTTGGATAGTTTGAGTAACTTTGTAATATCCCCTTTGTTTAGCCCTGCCTTCCACTTATACACCTCTATCAGGTTGCCCCTCGCTCTACGTCTCTCGAGGGAGTGCAAATTAAGATGCTTTAACATGTCTCTATACTCAAGGTTCCTAATGCCCGGGATTAGTCTTGTCATTCTCCTCTGAATTCTTTCCAAGGATTTTATATCCATTCTGTAATACGGTGACCAGAACTGAACTGCGTAATCCAGGTGTGGTCTCACAAGAGCAAGATACAGTTTTAGGATGACCTCGCTAGTCTTGTAACTAACACTCCTTTGTATGAACCCAAGTACTTTATTAGCCTTGTTACGAGCAAAAACACATTGTTTACTTGGCTTAAGGTTACTACTTATCATTACTCCTAAATCTCTCTCGCAGCCGGATTTCTCTATGGCATCGTTGTTCATCTGGTATCTGGTTTCCCTGTTTACATCTCCTATACTGAGTACTTTACATTTGTCCACGTTGAATTTCATCTGCCATTTTTCAGACCATTCGAAAAATTTGTTTAGATCTTCCTGTAGTTTTGTGGAGTCCTCCTCAGATTTAATAACGCGTCCTATTTTAGTGTCATTAGCAAATTTGCTTATGTTGCTGTCTATGCCGATATCTATGTCGTTTATGTATATAATAAATAATAATGGTCCAAGTACTGAGCCTTGGGGAACTCCACTTCTGAAGTTGCTCCAATGGGATTTAGTGCTATTAATGCTCACTCGCTGTTTCCTGTCTTGTAACCACGCCCTAATCCATTTAAGGATCTTACCTTTGATGCCATGTGCTTCTACCTTTCTAATTAGTCTTTCGTGGGGGACTCTGTCGAAGGCTTTGCTAAAGTCTAGATATACCACATCATAATTGTGCCCCTCGTCCACCAATTCGAAAACTGATGAAAAGAATGTTAATAGATTAGTTAGACATGAACGTCCGCTTGTGAAGCCATGCTGGGAATCATTGATCAATCGGTGCTTCTCCAGGTGATTTCGAATAGAGTTTGAGATGATTGCTTCCAGTAATTTGCCGACTATTGATGTTAGACTGATTGGGCGGTAGTTAGAGGATAGTGATCTATCCCCCTTCTTGAAAATCGGTATTACATTCGCTATCCTCCAGGATTCTGGTACTACACCTGTTTTTAAGGACATGTTAAACAACTTTGCTAAGGGCATACTAAGCTCTTCCTTACATTCCTTTAATACTTTGGCAAATATCTCATCAGGACCTGGTGACTTATTTGGCTTTAGTTTGTCTATTTGCTTACTAACATCATTACTAGTCACTGCTATCTCGCTTAATTTGTTTTCTTCACTATCTCTGAATAGAGTCGGTGCCTCGGGTATCATGTTTAAATTTTCGGTGGTGAAAGCTATGTTCTTTATACATTTCAAAATGTTGTAATCCTTCCAAAACTCTCTGAGCGTTTTCGCACCTTCAGTAGCAGCAACAGCCTGAGTGAAGGTCGTACGTAAATAATATGCCTTAAAAGCAATAATAGCACCTTGATCCATGGGTTGGATGATAGAGGTAGTGTTAGGTGGAATGTAGACCACCTTAACATCAGGGTGCAGGTCGTTCAGGTGTAGTGGGTGTCCCAAAGCATTATCTAAAATTAATAAAATCTTGAACACAACCCCTTGTTGCAGACAATACTCCTTGGCTCGTGGAATGAAACAAGTCATGAACCAATCCTCAAACAGTACTAGGGTCATCCTTGCTTTCTTATTACTCTGTACTGTGATAAAACACTGGCAATGTGTGCTTGCTGACATTTTTAAAAGCCTTGGGTTCTCTGAATGATATATCATGAAGGGTTTTACCTTGAAACCAGCTACATTCCCCTCAACAGAAGTGTGATTCGGTCCTTTAATGCCTTGAATCCTGGCATGGTTTTCTCTTCTTTGTGAATGTATGTCCGTTCTGGCATGCACTTCCAGAATAAGCCAGTTTCATCCACATTAAGTATTTGCTCAGGCAAATAATTTCCCTCCACGATGACACGATCTAGCTCCTCCTTAAAAGCTTCGGCAGCACCCACATCAGCACTTGCTGCCTCTCCACTCACCTTTACACTGTGCAAACTGTAACGGTTCTTAAACCTTTGGAACCACCCATGACTTGCTGTGAAGTTTTGGTTGCACTCATCTCCTGCCTGCTCGTTCAGGCTTTTGAAGAGGCTTCTTGCCTTAGCCTGTATGGTTAGAAGGCTTAAGGGTACACGCTTTTGCAGCTGATCTTCCATCCACATCACAAGTAGTTTTTCCATCTCATGAAGAGAACCTTGTCTTTTTTTTTTTTTTTTGTTCCCTTTATAGGTGCTGATCCTTTCACTACCTCACGAATTCGTCCCTTGCCCTTCAAAATTGTTGATATCGTCGAGTGAGAGAAGCCTAGGTCGCATGAAATGGTTGCTACCGTTTTTCCATTTTCATATTGCATTATTATTTTCATTTTCATCTCAAAAGTAATTGACTGTCTCTTTTTCTTCTGAGCATTACCAGAACTCTTACTTTTACGCTTGCCAGTCATTTTAAAGGGAATTAAAAAAAAAATTTGTCAGTACACAGCGTGCTGTACACCACGAGACGGCCCAGCCCATGCCACGCAGTCATACGGGACGGAAACGTTTCGGTACTAGAAAATACGTACATAATTTGAAAAAAATTTTATACGACTGCGGCGGTCGTATGTCCGGGTGGTCGTAAGTCAAGTAGGTCATAAGTCGAGGAGTACCTGTATATGCTGGGTTAACCCATTGGCTACAGGCTTGCCATACAGTACCGGCACAGTACAGTACATTACTATACAGTGGTCCCTCGGTTAACGAACGGTTCGATTAACAAAATTTCGGTTAACGAATTACCTCCCATAAGGATCTTCAATTCGGTTAGTGAACAAAACCTTGATTAACAAAATCCTTACGACTAACACATTTTGTTGTGAGCATCAGCTGATGGGCTAGTCTGCCAATTTAGTAATCTGTTCTGTTTACATTCGTTTCCAGTGGAGTAAATATCAAGAAAATTGTGCTCTTTAATATTTTTTACATTTTTTATATTAAAATTATTAGTCATTTTAAAATTTAGTTAACATATTGATAATATATGCAGTACAGGGAACTAGTTTTTTGTGAGCCCATCAACCGCTTGACTCACCCACCAGGCGTCAGTTTGGCTTTGTTTACAGTGGAGTGAACATCAATTTTGGTGGTGTCGAATATTTTTGCATTTTTACATTAAAATTATTGGTCATTCTGAAATTTAGTTAACATATTGATAATATATAGTGCAGCGCAGTGTTGATTTAAATAAAATCATCTTGAATTACACCTAGTGAACTTAAAATTTTATTGGTGAAATTAATGCATCAAGCATGTGTCCCCTGAAAGGTGATTTCTCCTCCATCCCCACTTCTTTCTCTTCTCCCTTCTTCTCCACCCCCACTTCTAATTCCCAGCATCATCATCAACCAGGAACCTTCTACATACACACCTCCAAGTAAGTGTACTTTACTGCATTTTTTTTTTTTTACTTTGTATGTACTTTTCTGTGAGCTGGAACCAATTACCCAATATCCCATTGAAACAATGGATTCGGTTAACGAAATTTTCGGTTAACGAAATTTTCGGTTAACGAACGACTCTGTGGAACAAATTTTGTTCGTTAACCGAGGGACCACTGTACTGTATATGGTTTGTCCCAGTTTACTGTTTGCTGCAGCTTTGCATTGCAGTACTGTATATGATTTCTCATTTTTTAATAGTTCATACACAGTTGCTAATGGAAAATATAAGGTTTATGATAATCTCCCACCATCCACACATCATATAATGTATCAGTCATTTCATGCATCTCACAAGTTGTGAGGGAGACATTACAATAATTATTGTTGTGATACTTTCTTTGAGAAGAGTATTCCATTGATGCTACAGAATTTTTTCCAAATATTGGAAAAATTTGGTTCACAGGGAAGGGTTGCTGGGTAACAACAGGGCTGCAATGAGTGGGTTAATGGTACACTTGGAGTTGAATTTTTTTTTTTTCCAAATCACTTGTGTTTCACGGTTAACAGTACTCTACAGTAAATGTAGAGTAAAGTGCAACATACCTAACCTAGCCTTGCCAGTTATTATTAATTGAAACAAAGGTAATAAAAAATTTAATCATACTGATCATTAATTAATTAATTACAAACAAATGCAAGAATAGTTTGCTTAAATTTTTATTTTAGCAAAGCAATAGAAAAATATAATAAAACATAATTAACCAACATAAGTGCTGTACATTACTGCTTAATCATATACAGTACCGTACAGTACAAGGAACATGTTGCAAGACAATGTAAAGTTTCATTAAGTTTTAACTATACTGAGTAAACATTGGGTAAATACAGTAAATTTGTTATAATTTTGTTGTAGTATTACTGGCACAGTATTAAACATGCCCATGAAATGTGTTTTGCTTTTTTTCAGTGTGAAGAAGTAAAAAATGATGCAGAACAATCAGATGGCCACTTATTGTCTAACCAAGATTTGTGTAAGGAGCTGTGTGTTGAAGACTTGTCATCAAAAATTACTTGTCACAAATTCCACCTCAACAAGCCAGCAGTGTTTACACTGGACAATGGCAGGAAAAAGGTAGTAAAATCTGTTATAAAAATGGAGGACCGTGAAGAACCTATTGGTGAAACATCCACTGAAGAAGACGAAGTAAGCTAACCTTACTTACTTTAACTTCATTGATATTGACCATATTTTAAGAAATTTTTGTGGATGTACTATTCTGCCTAAGATTTAGTTTATGACTTTTATGTAAAGTGAAGATCATGTGGCATTCAGATTTATTCATGTCTGACTACTTCAGTTTGTAAATTGTTTGTTTTGTTTTGTTTTTTCCTCTTCGTTTTTGAGCGTTTTGTGTAATTTCTCAGTACATCCATCCCACCTGACATTGGGTTACAGTATTCACTTAGTTCAATCAACTCTTACAGTTTTCTATGAAATATGTTGAAATTAATTTTAAAATTTTGATAGGATAGCAGATATACAGTATGTACAGTAGCTAAAACAATTATCTGTGCATACTTTGTGGGAAACAATATGAGACCATGGACGAAAAATTTTGGTATATGAGGGCTGTCACTAGTCATACATAAAATTTTGGAGCATATCGACCCCCACCTGCACAGATACATAGTTGTTTTAGCTACTGTACAGTATTTTAAAATGGGTTGTACCTCGGAATGTTTTTTCCAGCTTTTACCATCTTTGGAACTTTGATTATGATTGGTTAAATATTTCTTTGACTATGCTGAGTCTAATTTAATTCAGACTTATTTAGCCTATAGGTAGTCTGGATTTGACCAGCATTCCTATAATAAAAGGTAGAGTATAATCACCTACTACAGTAATTGTATACTGTAGCTATTGTAATAAGAAATAACTCAAAATCATAAATTAATATTTACCATACTTACGGTATACAGAGTAATGGAGAAGAGTTTTGGGTGAGGCTGTGTAAGTTGTTGATGGCATGAAAGATATCCCCCATCTCACTCACTGATGTCAGTGTGAACAATTTACAGGTATCTCCCTATTTACAATATTTCACTTGAACGATGGTGATGTATTAAGAACCCCCTCTATATTTATGATAAAAAAAATGGCATGAACGATGGCCTTTGTCTCGCCAAAATTGTTTATGTGCGGATTATGAAACTCATCTGTTGCTGCACTTATCAACTGCGGTCTACCCGTGCCCCGCCATCCGGTGCACTGCAGTGTCATGCTTTATTCTATGGTGATTACACATGGTCGTGATTGTGTAACTCAGTGATTAATGGTCAGTATCGGTGTTGCTACTTAACATTGGTGTTTTTTATTTATTTATTTATTTTTTATCTTACAGTGAGAGGACATCACTAACGTTCACATTGTACGGTACAGTAAACCCTCGCTGTACCCTGCCGAACACGGAATGCTCACTTTCCGCGGTGTGTGGACCCTTTTACGCGGAGAGCGGCTGGCGGTCCTCTCGCGCCGCTCCATTTTTGGATCCAAACCTCCCGCCATCCGCCATGTTGTGTAAGCGTCGCGAGTAGGTTGCGCAGTGTATGTCTTTGTTGCGTTATCGGTGATGTCATATGACGTATCGGACTGTGATTGGGCCAAGCATCCTTACCTCCCTCCCCGCTAGCTGTGATTGGTTTAATGTACAGTGAGTTCTGCTATAACGCGTGTTTTGATAACGCGAATTTGCTCTAACGCGATTTGTGAATTAGGAACGATATTTGTATAACGCGAACGCTTGTTTGTTATAACGCGATTTTTGCTTACTATTTCTCCAATTTTGTGGTACAGTGGGGTATGCTATAACGAATCTAATTGGTTCTAGAACCTTGTTCGTTATAGCATTCATTCGTTATAGGATTAATCCGTTCCAGGCCCCCAAATACAACCACTTAACACTGAAAAATATAATATAAAATTGTAAAAATTGTAAAAAAGTGCATAAATATGCATCTAAACCCCTGAAATAAAGAATATCATTAATATTTGTAATAAAAAAACAATAAATTAGAAAAAAAAAAAAAATTTAAATAATGTGAATATAGTAAAGAAGAATATCAACAAGAAGCGTTCTGGTGATAGAATTCCCGGTGATGATCGTAAAAGAAAGGATATAACACTTGAAGAGAAGCTCGATTTTATCAACCTCAAAATCACCCTTCTCCCCCATCAAGTAAAGTGTTACATTTACTGTATGATTTCATTATTAGATATGAATGTAACATTTATTTAGACTGTGCTATCCTTTGTGTTAGGCTAACTACTAAATTTTTTCGATTTCGAGTAATCTGCACCTAACCCTATTTTCTCCATAAGCCCTGTTATTTCTATTACGCGATTTTCTATAACACGATATTTTACAAGAACACAATTATCGCGTTATAGCAGAACTACCTGTACTATGACGCGCCCCGCCGCGGGAGCGTTCAAGCCCCTTGACCTACCCGCATCAGTTACACCCCTCCTGGCTACACCGTGTATATCGGTATCCATTGTTCCATAAGAATGGCTTCCACCGGACCACCACCACCACCACAAAGAAACCTTGCATTACCTGGACCCAGCCGCCCTAAGCCAAAGAAGACACGACGTTCCTTAAGCTACGAAATTAAATATAAGATCATACAAGACTTGGAGAAAGGAACAAGACAGGTTGATCTCGCGTGCCAGCATGGTGTTAACGAGTCTACGATCAGGACAATTAAGAAGGAGCACATGAACATCACAAAGTTTACAGGTGCTTCTATGATCAAGTTCTGCCACAACCAGGTGCTTCTCAAGACGGAAAAATTACTTGTGAGCTACTTGGTTCGTCAGGCGCGACGGAACATGGCGGTGGACACTCGCTCAGTTAAGGAGTACGCACGTGAACTGTATGCTGCAGTGTCACGAAAGATGGGAATTGCAGAGCCCAAACCCTTTAATGCTTCCTCTGGGTGGTTACAGAGGTTTAAGAAGAGGAACAAGATCACCAATATTAACATTGATGGTGAAGAAGCGAGTGCTGACCGTGTTGCGGCTAGGGAATTTCCTCTGTTTTTACGTGAGATTATGGAGGAAGGACAGTACACCGACGACCAGGTGTTTAACATGGACGAATCTGGTCTTTTTTGGAAAAAGCTACCTTCCAAGACCTTCGTTGTGAAGAATGCCAGCAAGTGTCGGGGCCGGAAGTTGCAGAAGGAGCGCATCACCGCCCTGTTTACCACCAATGCCTCCGGTACATGTAAGCTCAAGTTATCGGTGATCCACACAACACGCAAGTTGCACGCCTACAAGAGCATGGACATGACCAGGCTAAATGTCCACTGGCTGACCGCACGTAAGGCGTGGATGTTCTCTACTCTGTCCCTCTCCTGGTTTGATGACTGTTTCGTTCCTGACGTTAAGAAATTCTGTGAGCAACACAATGTTCCATTCAAGATTTTGTTGCTGCTTGACAACGCACCAGGACACTCGCCCCTACTGTTAAATCGTCACCCCAACGTAAAAGTGGTCTTCCTTCCTCCCAACACTACGTTTATAATACAGCCCATGGACCAAGAATTGATCTGTAATGTGAAAGCTGCATTCTCTGCCAAGAAATTCAAGCTCTTGAATGACTACACCAACACCAAGGAAGAGTTGCGTAACCTGAGTGACACCGACACCGATAGCAAGAGCGAAGACGACGAGGAACAACAGTTGGCAGAGCAAGAAGTACTTGTGAGACAATTTTGGAGAACATTCAACGTCAAGAAAGCTGTGGACTTCTAGGTGGAGGCATGGGATCAGCTGTCTGTAGCAACTGTTCGTCATGCATGGAGACATGTGTTGCAAGATATTCCGGGTGGGAGGCAGAGTAAATCTGTGACTGGTGAGGTTCAGACTGTTGCAGTAGCAGTGGACCTTGCCAGAGAAGCTGCACAGAGTGTTACAGCTGCAGGCTTCTCCAAGACCACCAACGACGACATCCTGGAGGTGATAAGGGATTCTGATGTGACTACCGACGAGATGGTAGATGATGATGACGTCAGTGAAGAGGCAGGTGGTGCATCATCCCAAGAAGAATGCCGGTTATCCCATAGTAATGTAAGGGGTGCCATCGAGTGTATTGAGAAAGTCAGGCTCCTCCTTTCCGACGACCCTGACGCTAACAGGTATGAAATCTTCACTACCCAGCTGTTGTAGACTATGGAGCCCTACATCAAGGTTTATCACGACAACATAAACACCAGCCGTCAGCAAAGCATAACCTAGTTTTTCGCCCGCAACCCACCACAGCCAGCCCAAGCCAGTGATAGTGACAGAGACAGTGATGATGACTTGAGGGATTTGTCAGGGAGGCACTAGTAAGTGTGGATGACAGTGATGGACTCACCTGAGGGCCAGTAGCCTGCCCTCTGCCTCGGAACCAGCCTCCATTCCCCTACGCCGACCCATCTCTTCTACTAACGTAAGTGTTAACCCCAACCTTGTTTTTTTGTAACCTAACCTTCATAATATTATTCTCTTATTGATTGTTCCCTTCTATATTATGTGTGTGTGAATACCATCATAAAGTTAAGATGTTATTTTTAGTAAAATGTACGTATTGTGTCGGGAAAAAGTGGAGTTTGGGGGTCGGCCCGGTCTCTATTTCAATTAATCCCATATGTTATGTTGTTCACTTTACGCGTTTCTCACTTTACGCGGACCGCCGTGAGTTCAATTGACCGCGTAAAGTGAGGCTTCACTGTACTCTGTTATGGTGACTGTGAAGTGATTTGTGCTTTTTTACTGCAAAGTGTGTTGCCTTTGTTTTTGTGAACATGATGTGAGCAGTGTCTGTTTATATCATTGTTTTTACGTTAAAATCTGTGATTTTTTCCCTCACAGCTGAGAGGACATCACTGACATTCAGATTGTATTCAGTTTCTGTGATTGTGAAATGCTTTTGCTCTGTTTTTGTTACTGTTAAGTGAGCAGTGTAACTTTGAAAATATCTAGCAAGTGTGTTGCTGAGGCTCCTGTGGCTGGGAAGGCCAAGGCAGGCTCCCAGGAAAACTGTGCTTCTGGACATGTGATGATGACCAGGTTTGTTCTTAATGATGTGGTGAGTGTTGTTTAATTGTGTTTTAGGTGTATTATTATTTTATGAATTGTATTTTTGGCGATACAGTAGAACGTCGATTCAATTTAAGATTGTTGATTGAAAGCGACACCCACAATTAAGGACAAAGGTTTAATTTAAAGCAAATCTTTCCTATTTTGCGCGAGTCAATCTGGCACATCATATTTAAAATTTTGCGCCTATGTTTCTCTGGGCACGCTACACTGTCCAAAGGGCAAAGCTGTACTGTACATGTACTCAAAATAATGTACTAAATTATTACTAAAATTTTTGTCGAGTGCAAACTATAGCATGTTTATATTCAAATTAATCACTATCTTATAAGAATTCCAGCAATGTAAATTATATTCTCCCCGGTCACTTCTGTGACATTTTATAAGTGTAATGGGGGGTAGTAGAAAGTATAGATAGAATATTTAGTTGTAGGAATGTAAAGTGAGGAAGTTTGGTAGCGTGGCCGATTTGGTATTTACAGTAGCTGGCTGGTATGCACGTGGACCCCTATGTCCATGGCCACCACGGTGCCCATGACCTCGCTGAGGGGGTGGCTGGCTGGGTGGGGAGGGGGAATGAGCACCATTGTCTGTATTACTGTCTTCACCACTGGCCACCTCAATAAACTCTACATCATCTGGATCGGTTTCCTCCCCATTACTGTCTTCGTCATCCAGTACAATATCAGTGCCACTCAAATCAAGAAATTCTTGATGAATAGCATTACTGTCGAGCAACTGCCTTCGCTTGGGCATGGAGAAGTGTGGTGGGTCATGAGACATCGAAGGAAGGGCATCCATCATCATAGCTGGTGGGTAACTGGACAAAAATAACATGTGAGCTGAGTTTCTAAGTGAATAAATATCATATGCAAAGTATTTTGTCCCACTTGGGCTTCCAAACTGTGCCGCAAAAATTAAGGAAGTAACGGAACGTCACACGGGGTCACTATTGTGGACATAGAGGAAAGTCACCCGGGCTTTATGGGTTAATAACAGAAAAATTAACAGATCCATAAGTCAGATAAGGAGAACATGAACATTTTCAATCCACTCCACCTCCTAAAGCATCCTTCACTACCCTCATTCAGGAGTACACCTGACCCTCGCTTTATGCTATGGTTGCGTTCTGCAGCATAATGGGAATCTGCATATAGTGAATACTTAATCTTATGGGGAAAATTAGGATATGTTCCACAACTACTAAAAGTCAACAGTAATGCTGTAAAAGTTGTGGAAAAATCATTACAATACTCTGATGTGGGTTAGAAATAAAGA